TAGCCAACTCATTGCTATCAAGAGGACTTCCAAGTCTGCTAACTGTGATGACATGGAACACACACTGCTAAAGAATGTCACCTACAAGCTCGAGGCGATGAAGCTCACTCCAGCTGATGCTTGTGCACTTCAAAAGGCATTGAGGGACAACCACAGTTTGAGTGGTGACATGAAGCAGATGATTGAAACTGTCATCGACACCAACTTGTCAGGAGCCAATGACAGCAAGCCAGTGGAGATTGTTAAACCACAAAGTATTGTGGTTTGCAGATACCTGACCATGGCAGACTGGTGTATCCTGAGGAACTCTACTTCCTATACCACAAAGGTGACCACAATTTGCTCAAGACTCAGGGGCATTGGAGTCAGGTCTTTGGCAGAGCAAACTGTGAAGAGTGCAGTGGCATCAATTTTGTCATGTTGTACTACTTTGCCTGATAAAGCAACTATGTTCCAAATGGTGCAGGATGTGAAGCTGGGGTTTGCAAGTGCTCAGCAGCCTGTCCAACAGTTGCCCTTTGTTGTGAAGTATCCAGATGATCCCACTCTACTCAGTCCTATACTGATAGCACATGGCTACAAAGATGAAAAACCAGCTTCCATCATGCCTGAACAGTATGCGGTCATCATGAAACAGATTCCTTTGAGACAAACTAATGCTGCCATTGCATCAGCCAGGGTCAGCAAGCAGGCTCACACTGCTTCATCATCAGGATCTACACCAGATGCATCTATGACAACCTTCATGGAGATGGCTTCTGGCTTTATGAAGATGATGGCCAACATGACACAGAACAAGTCCTCTGGAACCTTGTCCAACTTGGTCATATCACCCAAGAAGGAGGAAGAGTCCACTGCTCCACCATCTACAAAGCCACAGGCACTTCCTGCTCTAGAGGTGGAGCCTTTCAAGCCAAAGATGAGAACTTCCACTTCTGGCAGTGGTGGTGATTTGCTTCCTCTGGAAAATGGAGAGGTGACCCAGCAGGATGCTCCTGGTGACTCTGGAGATGGATCAGTCATTGAACAGGCTGCTTTTGATGCTTTGGTGTCCAGGGAGGCTGCCAAGAAGGCCACAAAGTCAAGTGGCAAAGGCAAGGGGAAAGGCAAAGGCAAGGCAAAGGCAAAGACCAACCCCAAAGCCAAAGCCTCTTCCAAAGCCAAAGCCAAGGCTCAGCCCAAGCCAAAGACTGCTTCTAAGAGGAAAGCCTCTACCAAGGAAGACTTTGTCTATGATCCTGGCTTCCCAGGCGCTGAGTGGAAAGGCAGATCCTATGAATCATGGACTTCCAAGCACTACCATGCTGCAAGAGAACTTGCGCGCAACCAAGGGCTTTCTGATGACGATGCAAAGGGCTGTGCCAGAGAGGCTAGGGCCAAATCAGCAGAGACCTGGAAGGCAACTTTTAAGCAGTGAATGATGTAGCTCTTACTTGGTTGGCTTAGAGTGGAGTTGCAGGGGAAGAGCAACCTCTTGGAAAAGCAAGTTTGTCTTTAGAGCTACATGACATGGCCATGACATTGCCATGTATGGCCTATAGTATGACTTCATGATATAGAATGACATGAGTACCAGTCTATTGGCATGTTTATGGTGTATATACTTTCATATCTCCATGGTTCAAGCCCTACTGGCTGGTTGACATGAGTCATGTTTCTGCATGTTCATGTATTACCATGGTCAAGCCACAGTGGCTTCAGGTGCATGCATGTGTCATGCTCTTACTTTCAAAGCTCAAGCCATACTTTCTTCAACTGTGTCATGATTTGCATGATCTTGTGTGTTCAAGTTTGCATGGCATGTTTGCATGGTCTGCATGAATGACAGCACCATATAGGCTTCATGTCTGTCATGTTGTCATGTTGGTCATGTTTGCAACTCTGATCATTTAGGCTTGCCAGTAGACCAATGTGCCTCTGATTCAACAATTGTACTTGGTACAGCCATGCCTGATCATTTGGAGTGTGTGTCTTTCCATGCTGATGCTCCTGACCAAATGTTCCTCAAGCTCACATGGCGCAAGGGATGGACAGCCTGGCACTTTAACTTAATGTGATTGCTTGAGCTAGGTTGTGTTCCATGTGAACTAAAGTCACACTTGTGCATGTCCTGTGATGCTGGTGAGACAGGTATGTGTGCAAACCACCTGCTGCCAATGTCACTGACCAATCTTGGGTGAGAGTGCCTCCTGCTTGGGGTCTTCACAGACAGTTGATCTATGCAGATGGCACCAAGCGCTTGTAGCTTTTTATGATTTGTTTGTAATATAAGTTTTAATGCTTTTTGTGGTCAGCACTTTTGAATCAGAAGATGTTAGCATATTTGCTCACTCTTGCTTGGCATAGTTGTTGACATGTGCATCTACCTGAGGCACCCCATTGAGTGGATTGAGCATTGCCTGTGGGAAGTGGGCAACCCATTGCATGACACACCTCCTAACACTGAGGCTTTGTTAATGAATTGCTTTTCACAGCACCTTTGGCATGAAGTGTTTGTGACACCCATGCGTGTAGATATGCATGTTCCCAATGTGGAATAGTGAAGCTGTGAAGCTTGGTTTGCTCTATGAAAATGCATATGATTGCTTGCTACCAAGAACTATGATGTGAGCTTTGTTTGGTTGCTATCAAGAACTATGTTGTTGGAGCAGGACATGCTTGTACATGAGCTGCATGGTGCATGGATACCTTTAATAGGTAAAAGAACATTCACTATTTGTATATATTACTACCATGTACACTTTGAGATTCTTAGATGTCATGTCATGTATTTTGCAATGTGCATGGCATGCTGCATGAATCATGTACTGGTGCTTTGTGGATTGCAACTGGAATTGTATAGTAGAGGTGCATGAGCTGTGGTTTCATGCAAGGGCTGTGTTTCCAAGCAGCTGATTGACTCAACATGGCCAGTTGGGACCTTGTCTCACCCATGCAATGGAAGATGTCAGGCCTTCAAAATTGAGAAGACTTGAAGAGTTGAGAAGGAGCAACCCATATGTTAGCTCCAGTGCTTTATCCAATATTGTGAAAGACATTCACAACCATGGGCTTCCAGAGCTTCACCAGCCTAAGCATATGAAACAAGCTCGAGACTCCAGGCTTGCTGAGTGCAGGGCTTATGGCCCTGTAATTGATTATGCACCAATCATGCACAAGGATGGAACTGAAAGGAAGCTTCTTCTCATTAACATGTGTTCATTGATGCAAGGCCTTTTTGAACAAGATGGTGCTTTTACTGCCTTGGTCAAGACCAGCCTGCACAAGTTTCCATCTACCCATTCTACACCCTGGAGCTTGATATACTATTGTGATGAGGTAGTGCCTGGCAACCCTTTGTCTGCAGACACTTCAAGGAAGGTACAAACTGCCTACCTATCCTTTAAAGAGTTTGGACCCATTGCTCTTTCCAAGGAGGAGGCATGGCTAGTTGCTCTAATTGCAAGGTCATCACAAATTATGGAGATGGAAGCAGGCATGAGTCAGGCCACTGCAGTGGTATTGAACTACATATTTCATCACCCTGCATGTTCTCCTGATGTTGGGGGCTTAATGCTAAAAGATGGATCAGGAAACACTGTCAAGCTCTGGTTCAAGCTGGGAATTATGCTGCAAGATGGTGCAGCTCACAAGGTTGTGTGGGGGCTTCGAGGCGATGCAGCCAGCAAATTTTGTGTGTTTTGTCAGAATTTGCTGACAAAGAAAAGCAACATTGTGGATGAGTCCAATGAGCACATCTTAGTTGCTGAGAGCTGGAACCTTGCCAAAATCAAGCAAGCAACAAATGCAGATGTCATTGACACAGCTAAGAGGCTGCAAGAGAAGTCTGTGGAGTTGTCAGCACAGGAATTTGTTCTTTGGCAACAGGCAGTGGGAATGACATACAATCAATATTCCTTATTGAATACACAACCACTCCAACATCTTTTGGAGCCCATCAGCCAGTTTCTGCATGACTGGATGCACTGTTTTCTTGTGAGTGGCATTTTTTGTACTGTCATGCACTTGGTGATGTCAGCTTTGGAAGGTGCTTTTGCCACTGATGTCTACCAAGTCATTGCAAACATCCTTTCCAAATGGCACCTGCCTGCTGTAAGGAATGACAATTTGGGTAAGTTGTTTGAGCCCAAGAGAAAGAAAGCCAACAAACTAGCAAACACTTTCAAGTGCACAGCTAGTGAGGCGCTTGGACTTTGCCCTATTTTTGCTTACTTCCTTCAGACTTTTGTGATTTCCAAAGGCTTGTGTGAGCATGAATGCACAGCATATCTTGCATTGGCTGACATTGTGGAGATGCTTCAGCTTGTGCCATTGGGTATTATCACACCCACTCTGCTTGGAACAACTATTCAAAGCTTCATTGACTTGTGTATCAAGGCTGAGTGGCAACCATACATGCACACCAAGTTTCATTGGTGCTTGCACTTTCAACAACACCTGTCAAAGCACAATATGTTGCCATCTTGTTTTGTCCAAGAGAGAAAACACAAGGTCATTAAGAGATGCTTGGCAATGTTTTTGCATGAAGCTTTTAGTTGTGTCACACTCTTCACATTAGATAGTGTCATGTTTGTATATTTCAATTGTGACCACAGCCCAGGATATGCATCATCCATCCAGAACTTGAGATCATATGAGCTTTCAGTCACTTCTGAAATTATTTGCCATGACATGGAGTGCTTGAAGGATCCTACATTGTTCAGTGAAAGAGCTAGGCTGGTCAAGAGTTCTCAGCCAAGCAAGAAACTGTTGGCCTTCCTCCACACACAGTTGTCCATTGAAGATGAAGTAGAAACCTACACTTGCTTGCAAGCATACTTGGCACCTGCTGGAGTTTGTTGCAAAGGGGATGCTTGCGCTCTAAAGTCAAAGCCTTTGAAGATCTGTCAAGTTTGGCTTCATGTGCAAATTGGGAACATTGTCTTATCCATGGTCTCAATGTGGGACATAGTGAAGATTGATGATAGTAGTTGCTGTGCTCTTTGCTTGAAGAAAGATGATGCAACATTTATTGAGACAGCCTCCATCGCAACCAGTCTTTCCTTCATGCACTGGAAAGACTCTATGTACAAAGTCATCATCCCATTCAATTTCAGATAACTGCCAAATGCTATGGAATAAAACCAGTGCTCTCAATGCGCCACATATGTTCTTCAAAACCTGTGTCATTGGGAAACCATAGGAGCAGCCTACAAGTTTTGCATAGTGCCATGCATGGTCACATGCATATATGAGATATTTGCACTCAAGCAACTGAGCTTTATCAAGCCATGTGGCTTTTCAACTTTGCCATGTGTTTGTCATGTAGGCCATGCACATGTCATGTCCATGCATAGTTCAAGCAAATGTGCTTTATCAAGCGATGTGGCTACTGATCAGGGCATGGTTTGTCTACATTTTATGGCAGCAAGTTTGGATCTGTCAAAGCCCTGTCTATAGCATGCCTCAAGTTTGGATTGAGCAATGGGTTTGTCCAGGGACACTGCAGACCTTTGAGAGAATTTGGACAAGCACCTTTTGGAGGAGGGTTTGGACAACACTGGAAGAGAAGAAATACCACATCTGCAAGTGGAAGGCCAAGATGCTCAAGTTGCTCAAGAGGAAGAATAACTTTAAGAGAAAGTCCTACAAGGTGAGCATGATGAACAAGCACAAGTTCCAGAAGATCCATAATTAGTTTGCTGTATAGCATCTCTTTCTTGGACCCTTGCAAAACTGCAAGGGTTTAGCAGGACATATAACAGTACCTGTGCAAATGTTTGTAGAGAAAACAATAATATGACAATTCAGTTTATGTGAGCAATGAACCAACAACTTTTCATGAAGCCTAAATGGCTTGAAATACATGTTGTGTATGTTTTTGGTTTTGATGTTGAACAAAATTACAACATACACCTTTGAAGTTTTCCTGTGCACATGGCAAGGGCGACATGGTAAACTTTATAAGTGGTTGTTCAGTAAAAAATGTGCAGCAAAGTATTTGCAGGATGTTTGTTTTCAATTTGGCAGTTGCTGATTTTGTTTTGTCTAAAGTTTGTTGTTATATTTTAAAAAAAAATCATATTTTTTTACTATAGGTAGTGTTTGGTTGTAACCCATATATATGCAGGATAGTATGTCTGGCATACATCTTAGTATGAATAAAAAACAAACATCAGTACTTTTACATACACATGTTTTGACTTTTGAATACTATTTTTGTATACCATAACCACTTATGAATTTAGCAATAATGTACATGATTGTAAGTGGTTATAACTTGGACCTGTAAATGTTATAACACTTATAACTCACCTCATAAGTTCTAGCAAATGTTATAAGCCCACGGTTCATCCCAGTATTGGACCTGATGGCAAGCAATCAGATCCTTCAGGCGATGGACATTGTGGCACAGAGGATCAAGAGTGTGGAGCTCTT